AGATTTGCCAAACAGTAACTACCCCTTTTTGCCTAGTCTGTTTATGGATACTGCATTCACTCTTCTCTAATCTTCTTGGGCCTTCCCAGTTCTCCGTAACTCTTCAAATACCATTGCAGTGATACACTGAGGGCCAAATACTGATCTGCCTCCCCATGCAAAGTGGCCTTTTACAATTTATCTACTCAGGACAGGATGCACAGCAAGCTAGGGTGTGAATCTACAGGGAGCTAGCTTGCCACACAATAATGTTCCTTGTAGACAAGCTCTTATGTCACATTAGTCCTTTTGCAGTGGATAGCTGCTGGTAGAGTAAAGCACTACCCAACATGAATAAGGAGATCAGAATATGGCCCTATATGTATCTAATTCCTAACATCCTACATCATCCAGAATTAGACTGAGTAACATGTTTTTTCATTTTCATGTGTTCCCTTAACTGCTCTTATCAATAGGCCTTGTAGAAATCTCTTCTCAGTATTATTTTTGCTTTAAATAAGAATATTTCAGCCATTTGTATATTACTCTGTATTCCATCCTTAACTCTTTCGACAAGCATTAGGTCACTGTTCCTTTGTACAGAATGAAGTGAAACACATACTCTCACAAGTACTCCTTGCTTATGCCAATATTCCATTTGTGTCAATAGGTTTTCTCAGGTGAGCGAGGATTTGGTTCTGTGGTTTTCCTTATGATCCTTGCAGGTGATGACACCAAATCATTGTGCATTGTGATGCTGTATCAAGGGAAATCTCGGGTTCAGCCACACTGGCTTGGAGCACAGATTATGCGCTGTGCTCATTCTGCCAAACACTGCAGTCGGAAGCATTTGGTTCTCACCTAGAATATGCTGGGCGGTGTATCTGGAAATTAAGGGTTATGGTTTTTTTGGTTGGTTGGTTTTTTTTAATTGCACTTGGCTTTTCTGATCTTCCTGCTGGTGGTTGGCCTCTTGTTTAAAAAATGTCACCCATCAGAATGTGGGCCCAGTGTCAGACTATAAGCAAGTCCCCATCTGGCTTTAATTACTAGTGTCACATTGGCAGAAGAACATGCTATTCAAACACAAATGTTTGACATTTGGGATGGAAAGTTCTTGATCATCTCCTTGACTAGGTTGCAGGTTAGAACTGAGGTGCATTGTCAGAGCTGTATCTACCTATCTAAGGTACTTATATGGGCCCCCTCACCATAGTGTTGGAGTGCCTTGGTCCTTAATGTATTTATCCTCACAGCACTCCCCGGGGGCAGGGCAGTGCTATTAGCTCCATTGTACAGATGAGGGGAAATGCACAGACTGTGACTTGCCCATGGTCACGCAAGAAGTCTGTGGCAGAGCAGGGAATCCTTGGCTAGTCCCCTACCCACTGCACCATATTTTCTGACAGGGAGCCCAGGACTGGAACTGTAAGTGATGCCCAAGATCAGGACTGAGGTGCATTTGTGGAGCTGGGTGGAAACTCAGGCCTGGAATACCAAAGGGTGTACATGTGAGGAATTAAGGGACATTAGACTTACTGCCTGTGGCAGGGGAGATCAGGTCAGGAATAGAAGGGGCTGGTGCAGGTCTGGACTCAGATGCTGGGTGGAGGAAAGTTGCATGGTGCAGTAAGTACTGGAGTTCTGAAATGCACTCTGTGCGGACAGAAGGGACGCTTAAGTTCTTATAATGAACGAGCCATTCTATTGGGACGTGGTCTGGGTGGTTCACTTAGAACAAAACATATGGACTGTCTGAATGTGTAATTCTACACATGCCATTATTGGAAAGCTGGGAGATAAGGAGAAAGGAATGAATGGAGCCATCTTCTTTAAAGCAAGCCTGTCTGATCCCACAGGCTACATGGTGATTCATGCCAGAGGCTGATGAAAGAGCTACTAAAATAGCATGGAGACTTGACCTCTGTCCATAGCTTGGCTTGATCATCTCCACAGAATAAAGTGCAGTCGTCATGCCCCAAGTCTAAAGCCACTAATGCACACCCAGGAAACTAGAGGAATCAGGTTGTCCTTGGACCTGACTTGCCAGCACGATCTTGGTACCCTTCTCCTCAGAAAGGAAACAGGACAGGAAATGGAGGGTGTTAAAGGATGTTTTCTCAAGGATGCTCCAATTCCATTCCCACTTACTCCAATAAAAGTCTCCATTGACTTCATTAGACGTGAAGGGTCTAACCACTGCTTCTTTAGGGTGACAGTCACCTTGCTCTTGTGAGGCAAAGTGCTGATAATGGACCCAAAAGCCAGTGGGGAGAGCTTACTAGTCCTGAGGGGCAAGAGTCTGATCTTGCTAATTTAGCAGACCTAGCCATTCTCTCTCCCCTCCACCCTGTTGCCACCTGTGGATAATATGGGACTCTGGAACTTTGGGTGAGAGAAAAGCAGACAGTGGCATGATACGTCACAGGACTCCTAGCTAGATTGCCAGATAGGGGTACAGAGGAGCACAGCTTATGCTTGCTCCTAGGCATATATCCCAAGTTAGCTGTGGTATCCCTCTTTAGCATTGCACAAGCATCACCCAGAACACATGGTCAAATGACAAACCGTGGAAAGTACAGCTCCTGGGCTATCTCCCTTTGGGGGAAATGGTGCTCAAACTCACCAGAGCTGGGAAATGGGATTGAGTTTCCTTTCCTTGCACTGTCTGGTGGCTGCTGAGGCTGGCCTGAAATGCTTCGACAGCTAATTGTGACTTGTCACTTACTTTAGCTTGAGTGTGGGTGGGTGGGGTGTATGTGTTACAGAAGATGTCGGCATAACAAATGTCTCCTCAATATATCAGCTGGCACCAGGGCTTCTTGGTGGCAGCATGTTTGCCTGAGTTCAGATTGCCTTGCTGTCCTCTCCAAGGAGCTCTGCTTGGCTTGGCAAACTTTAAAGACAAAATGTGACAGACAAATCAATCAATCAGTAAATAAATTGTCCGTCTCGTTCCTGGGATTTTGCAGTTTATTAACTCAGCACTGATGAAAAATAGCTGAATGCTTAGTAGCTTCATGAGACTAATTATGATAAACAGCCCCATTGCTGTTAATATCCGGCCATTAATTCTGAGATGGAGCCGCGGAAAATGTCAGGAATGGAAATGTCAGCTCTCTAAGAGGACCTGGCAGCTGCTGAAGTGGGGACTGTAGCATCAACACATGGAGGGGGAAGGGGTGATCCAGAAACCAGCATGATGATGATATATGGTAGGAATTTATAATTATTTGACTTGATTTCCCATTCCTTTCCTATAAGGTGCACTTCCTGCAAGCCCATGGCTAGGGTTTACTTCAAATCTTGGGTCCTGTGCTATTCCTCGCGTTGAAACAAACAAGCTTGCATCCACTGGGTGTGCGTTACACGCTCCCCCCGGCTAGGAAAGCTCATCTTGAGCTTCTGAAGTCCCGCAGCTTCAAAACCCCATATGGGCTACTTGTAATGCTGCACTTCAGTGAGGGTCACAGACAGTGGGGAGCGAACCTGTGACTTCTACATCTTAGAATGAATCTCTACTGCCTGAGCTGAGTCCATAATTTTGTCTCAGCCATCACTAGAGGGGGACAGAGCACTATGCAGAATGGGTGCGCATTACATAAACTTGTCACAACTCTAACACAACAGCAACCAGAGTCTGGTGTCCACTGAATCCTTCATCTACCTCCCTGATGTATTCTCTCCAGAGCTCCAGGAAGGATGGCCTTTGACAGGCATTCCCCACATTCTTGTGAACCAGTGACCGCTGCTGCATGCAGCTGTATAATGGGGGGAGGAGGGACAAAAAGGATTTGTTTGTTTGTAATATGGTTGCACACTGGGGCTGCACTGTCAGGTGCTGTGCATGCATGCACACAAACACATCTGACAGTCCCTGCTCCAAATTCATGTTTATTCCTTTCCATTTCATATTGTAAACACAGTTACAATAAGCCTCGTTTGTACAATAGCCAGACAGAATGTTGTACAAAATTCCATTTATTGCATGCTTCCCTCGAATATTCTCCTATCATTTGTGCGAGTGTTTCAAAGGAAAGCTCACCAGAAGATTCACTACTGAGTAAGCAGGAAGGAATTCCAAATATGCAGATAAATGATGTGGGGAAATAGGGATATTGACGATCCAGCATGGCTTATAATAGAAAGCCAAGCTGGTAGTTGGTGCAATAAATCAAGTGATGAAAAAGTAGCAGGAAGACACTTGGGTGACAGGGTCCAATCTATATATAGAACCTAGAGTGGCATCATGCTACATGAGTCAACAATTCAGATGTTGGCATGGCTATGTCATATTCCCCTGGAATGTTGGGATGTTTCTACAGTTCAAGGTCAAAGCTGTGTCTCTGTAGTGGTGAATAGTAGCTCTGTTAAGGCTCCGCTCTGAACTGGTCCTGGGTGTGTCTGATTTGAATGCTGGTCTGTTCTGTATCTTGGGCCAGATCTTCAGCTGGTGTAGATGGGTGTAGTTCCATCCAACTCAAAGAAGATGTGCTGATTTAAACCAGGGGAGGATCTGGTCCCTTGCATTTAGGTAGCCACATTTGAATTATAGGACTGCTTGAGTCCCAATAAGGCAATACATTTCCCTAGCAGCTACTGTTAAGATGTCATTCAGTATTTTAAAGGGTATGGATGGCATTTCCTAGAAGAAAAAAATCTTCATGTGCATCGTATTCTGCAGGCTGACGTGGGAATAAGCATGGACCTTCTTGGAATTGTGGGCAGTGCCAGAAAATGCGACCTTGTTGGCCATATTCTTTCCAGCAGAGACTGGGGGCATTTGATTCCACTGCAAGCCAGATTGTGTGACTCTGATCTGCATTGTACCTAACCTCATGAATAATGCCACAGACGGTGAGCACTACTCAGTGTGAGTAAGGGTATTGCAGTTGGCCTTTTGTTTAATGATCACTGGTGACTGGAAGCACGAATAGTTTCAAGAAAGTGGAGAACTGTCTGGAGGACAGTTTCTATGGGACTCTAGAATTCTAATTCCCCTTTCTTTTTTTTAGGTGCAGTGACTTCTCTGTGCATCATCTGGGACTGCATAAAATATGTCCATTTTGTCCTTTTATGCTGGGACTTTCGAGGGAGCTAGGTGCCCAATTACCATTGAATTTCTCCTTGCCTCTAACCCTTCTCAATTCGGTTTGCAATGTGGACCTCAGCAGATGTCTGTTCCCAGCTGCAGCCACCTTGGGGAGGTCTGAAAACCTGACTCTTCTAGTTTGCTTGGTCTATTATCCGAAAGAACTGATCTAGGTGTGACGACCTGTCCTGTTCACTGTCTGTGGCATTGTGGTAGAGATTGGGGTAAGGTCTCCGCTCTGTTTAGTTAACAAGCCCATCTTCACAATTTCATTATGATTGCAGTTTCAGCATGAAGGTTGCATTGGAAACTGTAGTTTAAAGAGGAGGATTCATTCCATTGATTTATTTTACAAGGGACAATACAAAATGGGTAGGCTCACCACTGCATTCTGGCTGCTGGATACTGCTCCAGCAAAACAAAAGACCCATCAACTAATTTTAACTGGCTGGTTTATGGCTGCTTTGTATCCTCAGAGCAGTTGAAAGCAGCTGGAACATAAAAGGGAATATGGACTATTATTTCCTTCCCAAATTCAAACAAGAACCTAAAGGGGTCTTCAGTGGGGGGGGGGGGGGTGTGACTCATACAAAGTCAAAATTGACATAGCCTTGACTCTCACCATTTCTAGATGACTCTTCCTGGTGATACTGTATTTTAAGATATGATTTAAGATATGATGTATTGTTAGGGTGTTAAATGAACATGTGGTGTTTACTCTAGATTAATGCCGTGGCTTGTGTGTGGGAACACATCTAGGCATAGAGATGGCAATCTAGAGCCTCACATAGTCATTTACACCCTCTGCAGAGAGAGAGAGAGAGAGAGAGTGTGTGTGTGTGTGTGTGTGTAGTAAAAACTACTATATCGGAGAGTGTTCTACGCCCACTTTCCCTAGGATGACACAAAGCAGCAGAAAATCCAGCTCTTCATATCCCACCTTGTCTTTAAAGTCCATGGGAGCTGGACGTTTTTATATTGTAACTTTATTTTACATTTTTAGGAAGGGCATTGTTAAAATTCACTGGCAGTTTCAGGAATCGCTTTGAGTGGTGATGGCTTTCAGAAATATCCATTACGTCAGTGTCCTTCTACTGTGAGCGAGACGTATGGGCCTAATGCGCCTCTGCCGAGAATAGAAGTCAGTGTGGAATTGAGGCCCCTAGATTTTACACTTAATGGATGAGAATAAAGCCCTTTATATGCTGGAGGTGAGTAGTATCCACTTACGGTTGAAATTTGTATGCTTGTTTTATGCATTTCTCCTCCAAGACTTGGGTTCAAATGCTGACATCCTATTAAAACTAGCTTGATGTTATTCAAACAGGACTCTAAGGTTCCAGGCTATTGCAGAAATCTTAGCTCTGTTACAGGCCGTGGGGGTGGATTCTGATACCCTATCTCATGCTTGCACCCTTAGCCTGAATATCATCTCATTGGAGCCAATGAGGTCACTCACAGGGCTGTAGCTATGCAATCAGCCTGAGTCAGGGGCAGTGCGTAGGTGTGACCGAGTCGGTCTGCTTCCTGTTTTCCCCCCCCGCTTTGCTCTGTGGGCAATAATCTGCTCCAGTCCTTTCGCTGGCATAGATTGCTTCCCTGCCTCCTCTGCATAGGCTGTATTGGGACAGAGCTAAGACTGTATTTGCACCGAGTCCACTGGCATTGCTCCCATGTGGAGGTTTAGTAATATAGGTGGCCTGTAGAGGGGAGTAAAAGGGTGCTGACTTCCCAGCCTAGGCATCCAGCAAGCCCAAGGTAAGGTTCTCCTCAACACTTGTCTATGATCTTAAGAACAATGCAGCATCCTGTCTAAATATCATCAGACCCAAGCCTCAGACGGAGAGGGAGCAGGAGAAAGAACTGCTGTAGGAAATGCTATGCTAACACTCCCTACTGAGCCCAGCTGGAGCTGCTGTTTCATGCTCACATCAGAGATCCCAGCCGCAGTGGGATGATGTGAGAACGATAGTGCATAGATACATCAATAGCCATTGCGATGGCTACTATCAGCTGCCAACCACCCAAGCTTTGTGTGACTCTTATGCACCCATCTAGACCTAACCCTCCTCTGGTTCAGCCATCCTGCACCAAAACAGCATCCTTGGGAAACTGGGCAGCCGTTAAAGACTGTGGCAAGCAATCGTTCCCGGGGTGTATCTCCCCTTGGGGCATCAGGCTTTGCCTCTTTCAAAGGAGAGTGGAAAATAGGAGCAGTCAATACACACAGACTTTGTGCATGGTGTGTCACGCACCCCTCTGGTCTGGTCTCTGTTATGGCTCGATAGCTTCTTGAAAGCCTAAAAGTTTAACCAGCTGGGCTTTCATCTTCTGACTCACTGAAGCATTTCATATCAACTCTGGAAATGCCTGGTGAAGGGAGATGAGCTGAACCACAGGGGCAGTGCCAACCTGCTGTGCATTCACTTTCTCCTGTTGCTGAGGCCAAAGCTAGATCACCTGGGCTCTCCATTGGGAATACTCAACCAGGGTTTATCTCCCCAGCCTCTCTCCACCTTTCAGTAAGATCTGAGCTCCAACTACTGGGCAATGTAGAAGGGATATATAATTATATCAAATACAATCAACACTAGCCACTGTGCCCCCTTTCTAATAAGGCACAAGGCCTGGGGTAACCAGCGGGCACACATAGCTGGGACTTTCCTCAACAGCTGCTGCTTTGGTGGGGGTATGGAACAGCTGAGCTCTGGGTGCATCAGCTTTGGTGACCCTTCTGCTTCTGGGGAGTTGATTATCAAGCTGCTGTGTGAGAGGTGTGGTGCTGGAAGGGAGCCTGTGAGCAGGAAAAGGCTGCTATGCCTCTTGCCTCTGGGACCACCCTCCGCAGCTCCCATTTCACTCAGCCTAACCCTGTTTGCAGTGCAGTTGTAGCAGTGTTGGCCCCCAGATAGTCCAGAGACAAGGTGGGTAAGATAATATCTTTTATTGGACCAGCTTCTCTTGGAAGAACTCTTGTGTAGCTCAAAAAGGACAGAAGATATTACGTCCCCCACCTTGTCTCTGCCTAACCATGACATTTTCTTGCTTGCAAGTTTTCGGAATGCACCAACGCTTCCCTCACTGATTTAACCGCTCAGTACGTGCTGGCTTTGTACAGAGCCCGGCTCACCCGCACCTTCTTAATGCTTGTGACAGCTATGGAATCCTGCGTTCATTGTGTGAGCTCTGCTGCCCCCATGAGGCCAGATTCTCTGCCCCAGTGCTCTAATAGAAGCCCCTGTCCCCAAGAGCCAAAAACGTCTGAACCGTTGCGAGGTTAGATGTTTCCAGCAGAATTTGTGTCCACACTAGTGCAGTCTGCATATAGCACTCCTTCTAGCCATTGCTGCAGCTGTGTATTATGGCACCTGTCACTTAAATTCCAGGTACAAGTCTCTAAGCAGCTGAATTGCATGGTAGCAAGTTGCACATGCCAGCAGCATCAACTGCCCATGTGGCCAAAACTAATGGGTGTGTGGGGATGAAGGCATTTCTGCTACAGTATAGTGGAAGGCTCTAGCACCAGGAGCAACATTCAGACCTTCTGCCTCCAGCCACCTACACATCATCTCCTCTATGCTATGCACTTTGATCCAACCTCATATCTTTCTTCCTGCATGTTCCTCTCTATTCTTCCATCATTCCCTTCCCTTCATCCCATTTCCCTTCTATCTACCCCCACACTAACCACTCCAAAAATCCCTGGAATGAACAAAACCATTAGCAATTTTCATCCTAATAACTTGTTTACATGTTATATCCCTTTCCACCCATTTTCAAGTGCAAGTAGCCATATCTGTCTATCATAGAATATCAGGATTGGAAGGGACCTCAGGAGGTCATCTAGTTCAACCTCCTGCTCAAAGCAGGGCCAATCCCCAGACAATTTTTCCCCCCGATCCCTAAATGGCCCCCTCAAGGAGTGAGCTCACAACCCTGGGTTTAACAGGCCAACACTCAAACCACTGAGCTATCTCTCTCCCCTATGAGTGGGTACAGCTCCTAGCACACTGGGGCTCTGATCCTCCTTGGAGCCTTTGGACACTATTACAGCATAAATCATAATGGCTGGCATGTTCCATGCATTACAGTTGTAAAACTTATACCTGTTTAAAGCCTACACAATTGTATTGCAGAGATGAACCTGTTACAGAGGTAATATAAATTGAAGGAGGAGAGGGATTCTATACAATAAAGGGCACAACCCTGAGATAAATTAATCAATCACACACCTTAGCTGCTTCAGCTGCTCTTTGCCCATGACTCATTACAGTGAGCTTTATACTAAATTTCCAAATCCCCTGATCAAGTTTAAAAAAAAAAATCAACCTGCCTCCAGGGTGTTTCTTCCTTCCTAGATTTTAAGCCCAGAAGGAGCCATTATGATTAGTGCTACCGGAACACAGGTTAGAAAATTTCACCCAGCAATTCCTGCATCAAACCCATAACTTGTGGCTGAGCAAGGGCATAGTTTTTAGAAAGGCATCTAGTGTTTGCTTATTTAAAGATTTCTTACCCTCCCTACTCTGCAACCTAGTGTAGATTCTCTCCCACCCTCAAAATAGCACTGGCCTGAGGCACAGAATGGGCAATAATGTGACCTGAATCAATAACAGCTTTTCTTCATTACTTGTGTTACAGTAGCTCCCAGTCAGAGGCTCCAATATAAGCAAGCCCCATTGTGCTAGGCACTGCACAAACTCCTAGTGAGAGACAGCCCCTGCCCCACCTAGCTTACAGTCTAACAAGAGAAACCAAGCAGGGGGGCAACAAAAATGATTAGGGGTCTGGAGCATATGACTTATGAGGAGAGGCTGAGAGAACTGG